AAAAAAATTGATAAACAAATGTCAGCATTGATTAAATTAAGAAATCCCAGTAATTTATACACTAGTTAGTCAATAATGTGTAATTACGTTAACATTTATTGTATTTTAATTATTAATTATGTTTTAATAATATTTGTTAATGTTAAGAATGTCTAGATTTATAAAAACAATTACAGTAACGGTATAATACTTACTAATAATAGCACCCAAAGTATAGCCAACTAATATACAGCCCAATACGATGGTTATATTATCGGTCGTGGTGTCCAATTTAATGGTCATATCATTTAATGCCGGACCGATTATATAAGTGGTCAGTCCCTATCATATGCAGTCATATCTCATTTAATTGCATTCATCAAGACCAAAATGAAATTAATTTACAAAATACATACATAAGTGAAGGCACAGTAGAAGAGGATCCAAGTGGTGATCTGTTTGTATGTATTGCTGTAACTATTGTTCACATCCGTCTTATTCGCATCCATTGAATCCAATTTATTCATTTCAATACCATTTGTATTGTTTGCCATTTTTTTGGAAAATAGGTATAGATTACCACCAAATGATAATTAAATTGACAGAAAGTCTCGCATTGATCTTATGCTGAATCACAGGGAATAGTAGGTTATGATATGTGTATAACCCTCACACACCAATAGTTGACGGATTCTATGCTTTTTTCAATGGGAATCCGCATACACTTGACTTAATTCCTGTCACTTATTCACTGGCTTTCAGCTGAAATCAATTGTACTGATAGTTGAGATTTTGAAAGCCAATAAATACTATGATTTATTTTATATTTGTATCACATTAAACTTTTTCCGTACATTATGCACTGTGCTTGCGTACCTATTTTTAATATTGAGTGTCATTTTCCTCATTTATTTATAGTATTTTATAGTTATTCATTATAATAAATTAAACGTGATAATTAATGATAACAATCTGTTTGAATATATGGTCTAATAATCTATTAACTGTTAATAATTAAATGTTGTACTTGATATACAAATGTATGACATGTAAATGTATGGCATTTAACTCAATAATTTGCTGTACAAATAAATACAAACTAGTGTTTGCTATGGAATTACTGTAAGGTAAAAAATAATTGTATTAATACAATGACAACATTGTCAATACTTATGATAAAATTAGCAAACAATATCTGGCCACCATAAATATAAATAATAACAATTCAATAAATAAAATATTATCAACATTAATCTCATTTCTCAGTTGGGAGTCTAAAATGAAATTGCATTTCAAAACACAGAGAACCATGATTAATATACCGTATGTTATATTATACATTATTATAAACTTATTGTGTTTATCACCAATGCTGGGGTAAATTATACATAAAATAACTTAACTGATAAAAGCGGTTAAAAATTTGATATCATTAGCAGTGCACAATCTTATTATATTTATAACTAGTTTATAGCAATTTATGGTTTGAAAATGTGTATGAATTTATGACTTAATGATTTTACTATAGAGATGACTCTCAATGTGACATTTCTTACGTATCCCCGCACAGTCAATGACTTTGGATTTAGTGATCCCGATGATTTTGACGTGGATAACTTTAATTTTTCCAGATATAACTATAGTGACCCCGATCATCCAATTTGGGTGCGAAAGGCGGGTTGGGAAATATTTATTGGGACTTTAGCAGTCCTACCAATTATGGCGATCGGAATAATTGGCAATTTAGCCATCATTTGTCTCATTTTAAAACTCAAATCATTGCGTAAATCACACATCAATTTATTCATTTTTAATATGGCTTTCGCCGATTTACTCACAACATTGTAATACTCGCATATATAATAATCTA